ATATAAAGCAAATATGTAGGTATAATGAAGTTTTTAAAAAAATCTTACCTGCTTTGGAAAAAGGCTTGAAATGGACAAAATTAACCATAGAGGCACGAGATCCTATTTAATCTTGGAAGCTAAATGGTGTCAACTCTGGGTGGTAGTTGGATGGAAGAATATCCATCTGAATATCATTTCCCTAAGACAAATATAGGAAATTCATGGGGTCAAGTGACTTGACCCCCACCCCCCAACACAACGGCAAAATTCAGGAAAGATACCAAAACGGGAGAAATGCTAGCAATTTCTGTTGAACCGTAAGTCAGAGACTGTCTACTGCGCCATCTAGTGTACAACAGGAACATGTTCAGTTTAGTGCAACAGCAGCCCGGTTTTTCAGGGAAGTCAAACATTAAATTGCTGATATTGTTGTTACTCATTTGCTTGGAAGATTAACTGATACAAACATTAACCTTGCATTGTACTCAACGGAAAAGAAGATACAGCTGGCAAAAGTCTGGATTTTATAAATCTTGAAGTCATCGGGGGAGGGGGGGATTATGTTTACTGTCACAACAAACCATTTTCCTTGACAATGCAACAACACATACAAAGACACACCTTCTTTTGTCTATTGTAAAATTACCTAAGGGCTTTTGACATGGCTATTTAGAAGGAAGGATGAGGAAGATACAGCAATGTGGCTGGTGGTGATAATTAGGTTCACCAACAATGAGAATGAAACAGAGACCATGAACAATGCATAATGTTTTCATTCGGGTTTTTTTGAGCTGTGCATCAAAGGCTGTAATGCAGCTGACTTTTTGCAGCAGAGGACCATGTAGGATCTTGGCAAACCATTTGGTAGAAAGCAAAGTTGTGTTTTTATCACACCATGTTACTATGGTTCTTTAAAAAGCAAAATCGAACACTGTTGTATCATTTATATATCTGGCATGACATAGATATTTACAGTGCAGTTTTTGTGTAACTGTAATGCCTAATTACTTGGCCAAAAGCACTGTAAATGTGCAAGAAAGCAAATTTGCCTCATACAACTTCAGTCTTTTCTTTTTGTCCAGACCCCTTCCACACAGCTGAATAAAACCCCACAATATCTGCTTTGAACTGGAATATATGACAGTGTGGACTAAGATAACCCAGTTCAAAGCAGATATTGTGGGATTTTCTGCCTTGTTATTTTGGGTTATATGGCTGTGAGGAAGGGCCCCCAGGGCCCATCCAGACATTACCTTTATGCCAAGAGCTTTTGTAGCAAGCAGGAGGGTGGCCAGATGCCAGTCCCTGTAAACATGGAAGCAATAGCTGCAAAAGGCAAAAAACGCAAGATTTCCAGGTGCAGGAATATTGTGTTTTTGAGCCGAATCTCTGGATCTTCACATGTCTATATGTCCCTGCAATTGGAAATCATAGGATTTTTTAATCTGGGTTTATTCCTGGGTTTTGGATGCTTGTTCCTGATTGGTCAGTTCCTTAAATGAAGGTGAAACTTGAGTGGAAGGCAAAAAACTTTGTTTGTATGCCAGAAACTTCATGATAGGAGACAGTATGATTCAAAAGTATCATATTTTGGACAAACATAACATGCTTCTGAAGTATGGTGGAAACACTGAAGATCTTTAAGATGAATGCTCAGGAGTCAGATAAGGCATTCTAGAATGATGTAGGGCAGTGGTTCCCAAACCATTTTTTGGCCAGGGACCACATTGATCAGGAACCACTTGACCAGGGAACACTTTGACCAGGGACTACTTCCAACATTAGTACCAAAAGGGTTACAAATTAGTTTGTGGTCAACTTTAGATTCAGTTTGGTTATTTGGTATGCAGATTCAGAAAAGTGCATTGGATAGACCTCATCAGCTCTAGTTTCTGATACAGAATATATGCCATCCAGTAGTCAGCATCTGCTCACCCACAGAAAACCATATTTAATAATCTAGAGCTGATGTGGTAGTAGTAATCTTTTGTGGGTAGTCAGCCTCTCCCCTCCCAACATCCCTGTTGCCTCAGCACTATAAGAGCGTTTTGTGAGACCAGTTGCTCTCATTGCTGTATGGTTTCAAGGCAACGGTGTAGTAATAGTGAGGCCACAGACTATATTTTCATTCTTGGGGACCACTGGTGATCCACGGACCACATGTTGAGAACCACTGATGTAGGGGAAACAGACATTTTTTACTAGTGTTTGGATGCAAAACAACATTCCAGCAAGAAGATATTCTGCTTGGTGCAACATCTGGAAAACCTACTTGAGTACAATGATGCCTGGCTTTCAGCAGAAATACTGTCTTAAAAATCAAATATTTATTTAGGACACATGTTTTTCTCCTTAAAGTCTAATTCCTTAAATAAGGTTTGGTTTCTGTTGAAATGATCACTTTAGATCTGAGTTGAAAATCTTTCCAATTTTGCATTCTTGTTCCATAATGCTTTTGGTGAACAACAAAGTTGCCTGAAAGTATAGATAAAGTATGTGGATTACCTTCAGCCATTTGAAAATTGCTGCATCCTTGCCCTTTATGTGAGATCTGTAAGAATCTCAATGACAACTAAGTTGAAAAGTGACAGAGGATAAAGAGTTTCTAGTACAAAGCAGCACTCTCTCTCTTTTCCATTTAGAAGGCATTGGTGCAAAAAGGAGCAGATTATGAAAAAAAAAAAAAGCTTTAGTGTTCCCACTGTGGCAGGAGAGTAGAAGCCTTAAGCAGTTCTGCTTCCCATGTAGCTATCATCATCAAATATTTACCTGAAAATGCAGGACTGAGATCCAGCTTACAATTGTGCAAGCTGAAAATGACTATTAAAAATTCTATCTTGTGTAGTCCTGTGCCTGGAAAAATAAGGATGTTTGCAGGGGAGATTTTTATCCTGGGAATGGTCCTTCTACAAGGTAGGAATTAATTTGATTAATTTGTAATCTTGGGCATGTCCCTTGTAAGCTGCCCCGAGTCCCCTAGGGGAGATGGTTGATGGTGTATAAAAATAAAATTATTATTATTATTATTATTATTATTATTATTATTATTATTATTATTATTATTTGATCTAGGTGCTAAATTCTTCCATTGCAACCTTTTTGTGTTTTCCTATCACTTCTGTATTTTTTCTTAATAGGAAAAAGTATAGTGAAGGACGTAAATATGAAATATGTGCCCAATTTGGTAGCACCAGGAGGCCTCCATCTGGAAGCATTCTCAGTTCTTTGTCTAGGATGCGATCAATATTATCAAACCACATACTGCTAATCACTGCCTCTTAAAAGGGAAAATGTAGTCCAGGGTTCGCTGGTGGATTTATTACCAATGGGAATGGCAAGTGTATTTTTAGTTCTAATCTTCTCCAACACCACATTTCACCACATTTCAAATAAGCTGATTTTCTTCCAATCACCTTTTTTCACTGTCCAATGGAAGACAACCATACATGGAAGACAACGGAAAACAACCATCCATAAAAATGGGAAATGTCATGGCATGGATGAACCTAATTTTAATATTCTATGATCTATATTTACACCACAAGATCATGTCTAGTTCCTTCATAGCTTTACTCCTTTGTTTATTAAGTGTCCTTAAACAAGTATCCTCTCTTAGCTTCTCCCCCCGCCCATCAGCGTTATGGAAACATCATTCACCCATGTTCTAATCATTCTTCAGAATGGATTTCCCTCTCCCCATATAACTGATACTGAGTATAATAGGTGGGATGGTCATTATTAGTTATTTATACCCCACTTTATCTCCCCTGACTCAAAGTGGTATAACATAAAAGCATCAGCATAACCATTTAAAATATATAAATATATGAACATTAAAACAGGATTAAATATAGACAGTATTAAACAACCATTACTAAGTAAATAATCTCTTCTAGACCTCACTTTCAAACTCATGGAAATACCATTCATTCATTCACACCTAACTACAGCAGAGAAAAGCTCTTTGCCCCACCCCAGCCATTCCACAGATATATAAACCCATTGTCCTAATTCCAACAGACCTCACTACCTCTGAGGATGCTTGCCATAGATGCAGGCGAAACGTCAGGAGAAATGCCTCTAGAACATGGCTCTATAGCCCGAAAAAACCCACAAGAACCTACATTCATTCATTCTCCAATCGCTGGCAGAATGAACTTCCCTCTCCCCAGGTAGCTGATGCCCAGTATAGTAGGTGGGAGTGTGGGGGTAGAGTTCTGGTTGTGACAATAGTGTCACTACCATTACTAAGTATTAATAGGGAACATGAAACCGTTAACTGTAGTTATCTATAACTACTCCATAAGCACGTGGGTGAATGAAATTTATGTCAGGTTGGGGCAGGCCAAAAGAGGTTACTTAGTTAAGTATACTTAGCTACTTAATAAAGCAGCTGATGTAGAACACTGGCCTAAATGACTAACAAAGGGCCCATCCAGACAGGCCCATAAATCGGGACCTGTTGCGGTTTTACCAGAGGTGTCCAAATGACACCTCTGGTAAAATCAAATTAATTTGGAAGAAAGATCCGGGTCTTACCAGGTGTTGACCCTGTGTGGATTAGGCCGGGGAACTGCATCATGTGATCCCCAAGCCCATCCACACAGACATCTTGGTTTTTCGACCTCCAGGAGCTCAAAAAACTGAGAGGGCACCCACCCCTCCCCCCAAACCCCAAAAGAACCCCTTAAAAGTAAAACAAGCCTATCTAGCTGCTATTATGGTCCTTGTCACACTGAGGCTCCTGCCCCCCCCCCCCCATTTCCTCACGCCAGGAGGGCGTAAGTCAAACACATAATGGTGGCTGGGTAAGGTATATTTTAACTTTTAAGGGCTTCTTTTGGGGGGCTTTGGGGTGGCTGCATGTAGCCATCCTCCCTGAGAAAACCTAAGTTTTGGGTGGGTTGTGGGGACTAAGTGACGAAGAGCCCAAAATGTTAGTTTTTCATACCTCAATCCTGTTACATGAGGCAACTTTCTTGCTGCAAGAGGAAAATGACAGTCCAGTCTAGCATGAATCTCTGTCACTATTTGTTATTTTTTATTGAAAACATAAGAAAACTTGTTAACATTTTTCTTCCATTACAGATAGAAAATATTTTTATACAAAATCAGCCTCATTAGTGACATACCAAATGCTTTTTACTTTAGTTTTGTAAGATGTGAATATTACATTGTTTTTACATATGTAGAAAATAATAAATATGTACTATACACCAGTTATGTAGACACAGAAAAAAAATACAAGAGAGTTCTCAAAAGATATTTTTCAAAACAATTCCAAGATTTTTTTTAGGGAAAACAGCAGACCTAAAGGGAAAACATGGACATGTAAATACAAATTATGGAGATGTAAGTGTGCACTTTCTGCCTGTAGGTTTGTAGATGCCACTGAATCACACAGCTGAAAAAGTCATGCCTTGGTCAGTGGTTGAGTTTCTTCCAGGGGAAAATAATAAAACAGGAATTCTTCACACCTGAAATGCAATAAAGTTTCAAGATAACATGATTATGTTGTATTCTTTATACAAAGGTCACCACAGTAAGATATAAAAATAATTTGACTTTTATTACAATGTAGATGTCATTATAAAGTTCCTGGTGCAAACTCCTACATTAAAGAAATGCAACATAATGTTACACTTATAGAATTACTCCTCAATTGTGCTATGACGAGTTGTAATGTTTGAATCAAATGTTTCATAGTATGTATATTAAAAACAAGAAATATTAATGATGTGCTTAGCGAACAGAAAACCACGAACGTACACATTTGTTGCTCGAGTGTGAAGAGGAATCATTATGCTGACGAGTTGTATTCTTCCCTTGAGAAGACTGCTCTCCTAAGAAAGAGAAGGGTCAATTCATTAGACATAACAACATAATGACATCAGATTTTAATGACATCAGAGTTTAATGCGTAAGTCAAACACATTTTGGGGGGAGGGGGGGATTTACAATTTTCAGAATAACCCAGTTGGCCAGTTAGCTTTGCCAAAACAGCCACAGATAATTCCCCAAATTGTCTGGATGTGAATGGAACATCATATTTGGCTCCAGAAAATGGGACACATTGTAGCCCATGTGGGGTTTTGTGGAGCCAGAAAGGATCCCCTGACTCCACATGAGTGCCCTGCCTTAGAGAAAGATGAATGTGACTAAAAAAAGAAGCATCCAAGCGAAATTTGGAGGCAGAACAGCCTTTCCTTTTAGCCCTGTTTAACTGAAAAACGCAATATCACAGAACTCAAGGCAAAAGTGGATTTAAAACTTATGAAGAAGCATATGAGCTGGAAATGTATTAAAAACTTTCAAAAATCCAGCGGTGAAAAGTATATTAAATACGAATTGAATTAGCTCGAATGTGAAAGGGAAGAGAAAAATCAGGTTCCTCAAGTGGTTATGACTCAGATGCTTTCCAGATATAATATGTGATGCCTGCAACATTGTTCAGTAATGAGTTTATTGAGCTTTTCTTTTTCCTGAAAAAGAACTTTTAGCCAGGGCGGAAGATGTGGAACTTTCCAAGATGACTTGGATGCTCTCTCTTTCTCTCTTTAAAAGACAGCATGCAAATATTACTTGTTGGAAAGGGGACTTTTAACTGTCATAAGTAACATTTTAAAGTCTTGGAACAGCAACACTGTGCACTTTCAGTACACATAGGTCAACTATTTAGGCCAAGGGAACTGGTAAAATCTGATGTTTTGTTTCATGCAGAACAATATTTTTAAAACCCAGATTCCACTTCTTGGTAACTTCAGGCAACAGTTGTTAATAAGCAAGTATAACTTACCAGTTTCTGGAGATGTTGTCTTAACAGAGATAAGTTTCACATTCTCTTTATCTGATGGGGCTCTGTTAGGACATACCAAAATGCCAACATTAAAAAAGTAATGAATGCCAAGGAGAACATTTCTGAAAGAGGAACATTTCTAGTCTGGAGGTGGGATGTAATCAACTGTGGTTTGAGTCCAGCTGAAACAGTTTTTCTCTCAGACTGCAGACTTTTTTTCCTCCCTTTTGTCATAGATCCCAATTGTGCTATCTGATTGCTGATCTCCTTTCATGGAAAATTTGCTTGGCTTCCATGCTGGGCAAAAATATCCTATTCTTCCTCAGCAGTGCATTACAGAATCATATCACAGAATCACAGAGTCAGAAGAGACCATGAGGACCAAACTAATTCCAAACTAATTCTACTCCCACATTACCATCCAACCTCATATTAAGAACTTCCAAAGAAGGAGAGTTTGTTACACACCAAGACACTGGAACAGTTCTTACCATCAGGAAGTTCTCCCTAATGTTTAGATGAAATCTCTTTTTCTTTAGCTTGAAGCAATTGCTCGATGCCTTAGTCCAGTGGTTCTCAACCTGTGGGTCCCCAGATGTTTTGGTCTTCAACTCCCTGAAATACTATCAGCTGGTAAACTGGCTGGAATTTTTGGGAGTTGTAGGCCAAAATATCTTGGGACCCACAGGTTGAGAACCACTGCCTTAGTCTTTGGTGCAGCACTAAACAAGATCTCTCCCTCCTCAATATGACACCCTTTCAAGATATTTAAATATGGCTATCATATCATCTCTTGACATTATCTTCTCCAGGATAAATATACCTAACTCCTTCAAGCACAGCTTCCTGATCTTTTGCCACTTTGGTTGCCCTCCTTTGGACACCTTCCAGCTTGTCAATATTCTTCTTGAATTGTGGTGTCCAGAAATGGGCTGTGTATTCCAGGTGAGTAGAACAGAGTGGCACTGTAGCTTCCTTCGATCTAGACACTATACTCCTATTGATGCAACCAGGAATTGCATTAGCTTTTTAAGCTGCTGCATCACATTGTTTTTTGCATACTATGTTTTTATGCACAATAGATGACAGAAGACTCTCCCTCCAGCAAGGATGCCAAGCAAACTATAGACGGAAGAGTAGATGGATAGTTCCTTCCCAAGCAGGTAGCTGCATTTCCATGCTGGGAAAAAGAGAAACCATTTCCTCAGTACCAAGCATGTCTCCTCTGTCCCAGCACAGGAATGGAATTAGGTTGCTGAAAGGAACAGGTTGATTTCTTCTTCCTCCAACTGAGCCAATGCATCTTGGCTAGGGATGTAAATCTTCGCTTATCCCATTCTTTTCAGCTGGAATGAATATTTTAAAAATTCTTTCCCCATTAGATAATACTATAAGAGTTTTTGCCGCATTGTCAGTGCCTTTATATACTTTTGTGAAAAAACTGTTTTTAAGGCTCCTACAGTTGTGCAGAAAATGTTTTTTTTGTGTCAAACACCCTGATTTCTGTGCTTTTCACTATTTTCCCTCAAATGGTTGGATTGGATAAATATTTCACACACAAAAAAATCCTGAAATGAAGGAAACTTGACTTTCTTTATGAAGGCATTTCTATAGGTTGAGCTACTGTTTCTTATTTGAGGCAACACAAATCACAAGTATCTTTTACACCCCACATCTTGATTTAGATGTAAATCTTAGTTTAATTGGGTTTACTCTAAGGGAAGAAAGCATTTTCAAGGAGGATTAACAGACTGCATTTGACCTTCTTATAAAGATGCATTTTCTTGGTGAATATTGTGTATGGAACTATAAACAGCCACTGCATTTCCTAGATTGTACAGGGATACAGTGCAGTTTGGCAAAAACATTACCTTAGCTGAAATAAAGGCCAACCTGAGCACATTTGAAACTCTATTTGGAAGACCCTGCTTTAAATGATTGCCTTTTTGGATTCACCCCAGTACTTCCAATATCTTCCAGAGGTAACTGAAGGTGCTATAAAGGGAGCGGAACATGTTATGGTTTTTATGGATGACAGTTTGGTATCTGGGTCAACAGTAGGGAAATATGTTGAAATCTTCAAGGTAGTCCATCTGGACTTTATTAAGTCTAGATTTAACGGAGTCAAATGAAACTTCTGCTCACACAAAATTGAATTTTTGGAACAGAAGAGAAAGGAGGGCAGAGTAAATACAAGTCAAGATAACATATGGTCTGTTGGAGAAGTGCAAACACCTCCTTCTGTTCCAGAACTTTGGGATATCTTGGCAAGAATAAACTTACTGGGATGGTAACTGCCAAATTTGTTTTGATTGCTAAAGCCATTGCATGAGTTATGGAAGAGCGATATTGCTTGAACCAGAGACTGTTTTCAGAGGAATGAAAGAAATAAATCCTCTGAGCTGTCACAGTGCTGAAACTTTATGATCCAAATGAGACCAAACTGTGAGTACAGTCACCAACTGCATTGCCACAGGATGTCTACTGTTACAATTAAGATTGTGTGCAGATGGTTCTTAGCATCATCCACCTTTTTTTGTGGACAGAAACTTTCAGAGAAAGGAGAAATGTTTTAGATTTCCAAGAGATTTTGTGAAAACTTAGTCTGAGATAGAAATAATAATTCAGGGAGAAAATGTGCTTTAACAAAGGTAATGAAAAACAAAAAGAAGGCAAAAAAGATTGTTTATGTAGTGAAATATAAAACTATTAGGATTGTCAACAAAATGATATATCAGCAAGCTGCACTTTGAGCCATGTGATGGCAAATAGTAATATAAGGGCCCCTTGGTGGTGCAGTGGGTTAAACCTTAATGGTGCAGTGGCACTGAGCCATGGCAATTAAAGTGGTATCAAAGTACAATAATTCTACAGTGTAAATGCACCCAAAGTCTACTTCCTCAGAAGCACGGAGTGAAATACCTAGGAGCAGATCTTTATAGGCAGACTGTGTGTGAATAGCTATGGAAATGCATGACTTGTGGGTATGGTGAGGTGGTGACAACTCCAGTATTAATTATGGTAGCTGGGGGGGGGGGGGGGGGGAGGGAGACAGATGTTGCTTAAAGTTAGAATGAGTTGATAACAATATGAATAATTGGGGCTGTGGTTAGCACAGTGGGTTAAACTGCATGCTATAGGAAATCTTGCCAATTAGGAAATAGGTAGTTCAAGCCATGGGTTGAGGTGAGCTCCCACCGTCAGTCCTACCTTCTGCTGACACAGCAGTTGGAAAACAGCAATGTGAGTAGATAAATAGGTACCACTGTGGAGGGGAGGTAAAAGACACCCTGAAGACATGCCGGCAATTCAATCAAGAAGGCATCTATGGACAAGAAGCTCCTCAGCATGGAAAAATGGCAGCACCTCCCCATGCCTGAGTTGAGCACAGACTCCAGATGTCGGAAATGAAAAAGAGGGAAGCCTTGCCTCTGTCTATGTATTGTCTGTCTTTGTGAATTGTATAACGACATTGAATGTTTGCCATATATATATTCTGTAGTCTGCTCTGAGTACCCTTGGAGTGATAGAGCAGAATATAAATAAAGATGATGATGATGATGATTATTATTATTGAAAAAAATATTGGACTGAAGTGTTATGTCAACTGGGAACCAGAAAGGAGTCATGAAGCATTGGCTAAAAGGATCCTCATGAAGCTGGGATGTTAACTGGTAACATGATACATGCAGTGTGCCAAGAGACCACCATCTCTGTTCAACCCACTGTTGGTAGACTGGTGTTCATTGATATATTCCAATTCTGCTGTTTCACCTTCCAATCTTCCTCAGAAAAACATTAGGAAAAGTGTATACAGAAGGACAGAAGGAAAGGGGCGCAACTTACTGTTCAGTTCCATTTTCTTGCCTCTCTGAAAAGAAAACAAACAGATTGTCTTGTCATTCCAGCATGATATATTGGGGAATTATCTTTTCATACCCTTTCCCCCTGAACAGAAAAAAACCTCTCCATAGTTTAAAGCACATTTACATTTTTTTTAAAAAAAAATGCAAACTAAGAGTATAAAAGTACTCTACAATGAACATAAGATTTAAAAAAAATCAAAACACCCGCACAGAGAAAACCCTGCCAGTTCAAAGTATTTTGTATAGAAAATTATAACACTTAATATAATGATAATAAATATTTAAAATACAGTTTTTTAAACAAAAGAAAATTAAATATATACCGGGAGTTGTCTTCAAGCATATTTTGTACAAAGCCATCAGAAGGAAAATAACAAGGGATATCACTATCAAGGCGATGATGACTGGCAAAAGAATACCTGCATGTAACAGAGAAAATTTATTCATGCACATTATCTACTTAACATTCATTTTTTCCAGAGATAAAATTAAGTATCAAAGAGCTGAATTTCAATGCTTTTTGGACCACTATCAATAGATAATTTAGAACTGGACCTATTGTTAGGCCTAGTGAGGCAACTGACTCAACTGAGTATTTCATCCATTTACTTTTTCTGAGGCATAGAGCTATGTATGCCCATTTGGCATTCCCTAAATTAACTTGCCACTTTCAGGTGTTTATTCCACTGCTCTTGTTAGAATGAGGTTCATCAGCCAGTTCACTTCTGAACATGACTGGAGAGGGTTAACACATCTTGACTTTTCCCCCAAGCAGCAAAATATCTTTTTTGGGGGAAAGCAGGGTCAAATGTGTTTCAACCCCATCAACCCTGGATTGCATATATGAATGTAATTCAACATTAGATTGCTAGAGGTCAGGCATTCTAATAGTCTAATTTAGACCTAAAATTACTATTGTTATGATACGGGAAATGAGAGACCCTTGCTGCTAATTTAGTGCAAATCATCCAGATTTTAGGGCAAACAGGTCAGAGACCTCACCCTTCTGCCCACCCCCTCCTTATTTGTAGCAAAAGAAGACCCGCAAACGGCTAGATTTTCTATATTCCCATATAACCACTAAGTGGCAGTCTTACAGCCTTTATGAGAGAAGATACCTGTACGCTGTAGGAAATAGATGTGCCATATAAAATTTGCATTCATTCTCATACACACACACACACACACGCACACACACAATATCTCCCCAAGTGGCATAAACATTCCACATTTGAGTTAAGAATGGCATTACCCCAGAAATGATCAATAGCACATTAGCAACATATTTATTTATATATTTATTTATTTATATATTTATTTCACTTGTATACTGCTTTTCTCATATTTATGGCAAAATTGGAGCCCCCCGTGGCGCAGTGGGTCCTGTGCCGGCAGGACTGAAGACCAACAGATCGCAGGTTCGAATCCAGGGAGAGCGTGGATGAGTTCCTTCTATTAGCTCCAGCTCCTCATGCGGGGACATGAGAGAAGCCTCCCACAAGGATGGTAAAACATAAAAAACCCAACAACATCTGGGTGTCCCTGGGCAACATCCTTGCAGACAGCCAATTCTTCTCACACCAGAAGCAACTTGCAGTTTCTCAAGTTGCTCCTGACACGATAAAAAAATTGGCAAAATTTAATGTTTCACATACATATAAATAGATAATAGAAAAAGCCATTTTGGTCAGGAGAGAAACTACTCTGCCAGATGTGTTAGCTGTCCAGGACTTCAGCAGAGCAGCTTTCTCTTCCAACATTGGTGCTATTTGCTGCTGGACCCACTACTACAACAATACAGTAAGTGGCCTTGTCCCAATTTGGCTTTGTCCCAATGTTTTTAATGCTCTTATTGATGTTGTTATGGTTTTTATGATATGTTAATGTTTTTATTTCTATTTATGGTACTGTGGGCATTGAATTTTGCCCTGTAAACCACCTTGAGTTGCTTGTGGGCTGAGAAAGGTGGTATACAAATACAGTAAATAAATAATAAATAATAAGCAAGAAGAGGGCATGCATCATGTGGACACTATGAGGCAGATTCTTGGATGCCCTGGTTTAAACTGCCTGTGGAGATATGTCCCTAGAGGCCTTTCCCATGGCACAGTTATAGCACTATTTCCCACTGTAACTTCCGTAGCAAGATTTTATGGAATTCTGGGAATGAAGGGAGGGGTGTTTCCGATTCTGTGCCAGGATTCCATACAGTGAACCATTGCAGTTTAAATGGAATATAGAGCTGTAACTGTGAAGTGTGAATGTCACTGACTTTTCTACTTTGATGAAATGCAGTATGTTTCTATATACAGCAAATATTTAAAGTTGCAAATTTTATGTAAATTGGTAGGGGATGGGGTGATCCGTAATTGTCCACCCTGCTGGAAAATCTCATTACTGAAGGCAGCTTATCAACTGGATAAAGAAATAAATACTAACTTATACTGAATTACTTTTAATTATTTTGGCATGTTTGTCATGTCTCCCTTTTGCATAAGAAATATATTTCAGTTGGTTTTGTAAACCATGTGGAAATATTCTCACAATTTGGTATCACAGCAAATCAAGCAGAAAGATTTTACAAACACCTTCACATACGGACAGCCTGAAAGCAACCTTTGTGGAAATCAAGTTCTAAAACATACCTACACAGAATATACCAAATAGAAATATTCTGTGTAGGCATATTCTGTTCACTTATATATTCATATACAGTCAGGGGTATAACTATGGGGTGCAGAATAAAGAAGTTGGCATTTCAAATAAGGTTTTCCCCTTCATCTGTGAAATCTTCCTTCAGAACCCAAATTTGTGGTATATTGAAGTAACTTAAAAACTTCAACTGTACATTGAGAAATACAAGAAAAAAGTGGGGACAAAATTACCAAGGTAATGAGGACACAGCAAAAAAAAAAGAGCTGTGAAAAATTTTCATTTTTTCAATCTCAGCAATGCTAGAAATTTAAGAAGAAAGAAGGTTCCATGGGAAGGCCCAGAATTATTACTGTGGGGAGGTGTCCTCATTTTGGCCTCCCCTTATAGATATATCATTAAGTGTAGCACCCAAATGTTTGTGGCTCTAAAACAGGAATGGGAAAACTTTCTAACTTGGGGGCCAAATGGTGGGCCAGAGCAGGGTGGGTGAGGTGGGAGGAAAGGGGTTCTCCCCAACCCCCTCCCTATCCTTTCCTCCCCTTCCTCTTCTTTTTTAGAGGCAGAAAGTGAAGGAAAGATGGGAAATGTCTGAATCCTGAAAAGGTTGGTATTGGTCAGGATGAGATGGTGGACAGGAGATAAAAAGTGTATCAATTAGAACCCATATTCCCTACTTCTGATATAGAATCTTAGAGTCCTAGAGTTGGAAGAAACCCCCAAAGGCCATTCAGTCCAACCCACTGCCATGCAGGAAGGCACAATCAAAGCACTCCTGATAGACAACCTCTGCAGAAAAGCCTCCAGAGAAGGAGACTCCACCACACTCTGAGGCAGCCTATGCCACTCTCCAGGAAGTTCTTCCTAATCTTTTCAGTTGAATCTCTTCCCCTGCCACTTGAAACCATTGTTCCCTTGTGCCCTGGTCTTTAGAGCAGCAGGAAGTCAGTTTTTCCTCTCCTCCTCATTGGGACACCCTTTAAAATCTTGAAATATGTTCCCTCTCTATCTTCTCTTCTCCCAGCTAAACATCCCCCAGGAGTAAAGGAGGAAGAACGAGTGGAAGAGAAGGATGGAAGGAAGGGTGGAAAGGAATGGAGGGAGGGGAGGGAAGACAGAGAGAAGGAAGGAAAGGTAGGATGGTGAGAGAGAGGAGGGCCTGAGAAAAGAGTCCAAGAGGCTGCATCCAGTCCCCAGGCCTGGGTTTGCCCATACCTGCTCTAAAAGATTACAAAAAAACACCAGAAGGCAGCATACTCCAAATTCCTTGCCCATACCCTGCTAAATGTTGTTGTTGTTGTTGTTGTTGTTGTTGTTGTTGTTGTTGTTATTATTATTATTATTATTATTATTATTATTATTATTATTATTCAAACTTGTCCTTCTATCTGTCAGGGTGATGTGGTTATGTCTGTTCACACATATCACACTGACCTCAATCCTCAGGAAGAATTCTGCAGCTTGAAGAGGAAAGCGATGTCAGTCTGAGCTCATTATATCCTGTTCTCCCATTTGGAAAGGGCTAGACAGGCGGGCAGATTACGTTTCTAGTCCAGCAGTCCCTGACAAGGCTGACAATTTCATTCCAGCCACTACCTTCCAGCCAAACAGCTTGTAAAAGCAATGAATGGGGAACTGAGAGGACATATAGGACACATGGAATTTACTCACTGCTGTACGAAGAATCATCCTTTGCACTGCTATCTATAAGGAGGAAAAAGTAGAGATATTCTCACAAATATATGAATGAATGGACACATATTCAGCATAACATCTGTGCATCCCTCATACATATATATATCTTTATAGATTGAAAACCTTATACACAAAGTTGATAAAACATCACTTCACGACACCATGTCTGTCTTGGGGTTGCATCACGTTTGAATTGTGACTGGATCATCTTGTTTCATTCATGAGAAAAACCCATCAATTAAACCAATACCGCTGTTGTTTTGCCAATACTTCTTTTGCAATAATTTCCTTCAGCTCTGATATTGCAAAGCAGAGGAAGGTCTCGCAAGAATAACAGTATTGTGTGGCTGTGCAGTTGCAGCAAAATAGGAGGAAATACAGTGTGCATGCTGAACAGGGTGAACAGGAAGCATGTTTTACAGAAGACCGATCATGGGAAATCACATCAACAGAGTGACAGCATAGTGCAAAGGCAGTGAGGAGTTCCAATAATTGTATGTTTCTATTTGCTTAAAGAACAGGAATGCCACGAGGCAGCAGTCTGGTGTGATAAAGTCCTAAGATGAGCAGCTGTGGAAAGGGTTCAGTCCAGAGTCATTCCCCCTTATGCCATTGGCCACATGGGAATCAAACTGCTACATTAAAACATAAGCTTTAAGTCATTTTGGAAAGGGACAGAACACACCAGATTTACTCACCAGTAGGAGATGGATCCTCCCTTTTTTCATTATCTGTGGTATCTATAAGAAAGACATGAAAATACGCATCATTCACTGGAATATTTTCTGCTTTTCAGAAATTACATTTGGTACTTGAACATAATGGTCTGAAGGCACCGGAACACAATAGTACCTTTCTTCTCTCCTTCAGTACCACCACACTCCAAATAGCAAGACTGAGATTCTGAGTGCAAATGCTGCTGTCTTTCTCTCTCTCTCTCCCCCCTTACCCCCACTGTGCAGATTTTTATGTTAATCCAGGAGCAGGCACTATATAGTCCAATGACACATTCAAATGTGCAAACTCTCTTCCTCCGAATTAGCCTTGCCTGAAGGAAACCTGTACACCTAGGACAAATAAAGTTCAACCTTCACACTGGAGCTTCACACACGAGGCCTACCTCACACTGTGGGGCCTAATAACACTAAGGTCTATTTTACCACAGTGAGGCTTACTACCACTGAGGCTTTTTCTCCCACTGAGGTGTCCTCTCACACAGAGAGGCTTCTCTCACACTGAGAGCTCTCTCAAACTGTGGCGTTACTAAGCAACAGGCACACCTGCTTATATTGAACTACAGCTTTTGCGGCGTCATTGCATCCATTTAAACCTTTCAGTGCTTAACTCATATTTTTGTAATTAAAAATACCTAGTTATTTTTTTAATATTTCTGATATGACCTTCATACTTGGTCATTGGCCATGTTGACTGATACCAATGGAAACTTGATTCTAACAATTCTGGAAGCCCATAGTTTGCCTGTGATATCTAAGCCAAAGGGAAATATCTAAATCCCAAAAGGAAATAACCTTTAGGTTAGGAACCAATCCAATTAGAGCAATTCAAATATTAATTGATTCCACTTAAATCTGACCTAATTACACTCCATGTCAACTTTTGGTTTTATGCCAGTTAAATAGTGTTTGCTACATAGAGATTTAAACTGGGTTGAAATAAGGTATCTGAACTTCACATTTTATATGTTAAGCAATCTCTCTCCTTTTCTAATAAAATTAATCTTTTAACACTAGCACAAGGTCTACCGATACTTTTCAGAGGTTTTCTTATAGTCTGCTTCAAAGTTATTGCTGGTCTCATTAAAAGTAGATCTTTTATTCCGGTCCAGGTGCAAATTTATTGAGTTAATGTTCGGCTTATATTGGTTAGCAATATTCTGCCTGTCTGCCTTGTCATATTCATTGTGTCAAAAACAGTCTAACCTTCATTATTGTGTTACTTGAACTTTTCCACATGCTTAGACAGTTTCGACTGAGTGACATTTTTTTATTTTTTTAGTGTAAAAAATGCCTTTGCCCCTTTTCCTTTCTTTTTCTCCTTCTGTTCATTTTCCCTTGTCCACTCCAATCTTTTTGGGAAAAACATTTGTTATTGAAAAGATATGTACTCTTTTCTGAAATGATGGAATTTATTCTCAAATTTGCATGCTGCTCCCTAAATTTGTAGGGGAATACATTTGCTATTTATTTAAAAAAACAACCTACAATTGCAAGTATATAGTACACACTTGCATTAACAAATAGAGAAGCAACCCAGTATTTGTTTGAATCTGTAAATGTATTTTATTTCAAGTATATAATTATTATTTACAGTTGCCCCTCTATAGCCACAAAATTTTCGTCCACAGATTCAATCATTCATGGCTTGAAAATATTTTGAAAAATCTGGAAGGAAAATCTTGATTTTGCCATGTTATACCATTCTAGTACACCTTTGTACAGTAGACTCTTAGTTAACTGGTATAGAGATTGGTAGATGTCAGATAAATGTAGTTTTGGGTTGCTTGAGAGCTAGGTCTCAAGTAGGTCTACCAAGTAGGTGATACTATACCATAAACTCTGTGTTGACTTAATACTAATACAGTAATTAAAAGCAAATGAAGACTAACTTAACTTAATGTAACACAGTTTTACTGTACCTCCATACCAAGTTCGGAAACTCCAGGTAGCTCAAACCACAGGAACACCCAGGAGTATATCATTCTTATGCTAAAGTCACTCCACTGGTTGCCAATTAGTTTCCAGGGAAAGTACAGTGTTGGTTATGACCTTTAAAGCCCTACATAGCTTGGGTTCAGGTTGGGGTAGCTCCTCCAACTTGCCAGAACCCGATTGGCAACCAGAATTCATGGATATTAGCATCCATGGAGATGCTAAACTGCATAAATATGAAGGAACAACTTAATTTTCTTATTTATATCCATTCCCTCAATATTGCAACCGTTTTTAAACTAAAATGTTTACTATATAAAAACATAAAAAAAACATTATAAACAAAAGAAAACACCTAACTATTTTAAAAGCCTATTTCTACACATTCTTTATCTACCGATAGAAAAACAGGAAGAAGAAGCCCTTCTAATAGTCCTAAAATCCAAAAAGTCTCCAAGGGCATCCACTAAGAAGGCCCTTGGAGCTAGAAAGCCACACATATTAACACTGTTTATGAATTGTGTAACGGTGGTGCAATGAGTTAAACCCTTGTGCCAGCTGAACTGCTGATCTGGAGACCTCAAGGTTGGTGCAAGGTTGGTGGTTCGAATCCGCAAGATGGGGTATATCATCTGTCAGCTCCAGCTTCCCATGCAAGGACATGAGAGAAGTCTCCCACAGGATGGTAAGACATCTGGGCAATGTCCTTGCAGACGGACAGTACTCTCACACCAGAAGCAACTTGCAGTATATTCTCAATTCGCTTATGCCACAATAAAAATGTATTGTGCTGTTTTGTGCTAACTTTGTTGCTTGATGGTTCATGTTGTTTAAATTGAGCTGTTTCATATTTATTTTTCAATTTTTAGACATTAAATGGTAAGACAGAGAAATTGTGGGGGTTTTTTTGGCCTGAAATGGTTTCATGATTTCATTGATGTAATGTAATTGCAACCAGGAACTCCCAACTCATATAGTATTCCATTAAACCATTAAATTATATTTGTCCCCAACAATGAGATATAGCAGTCATGTTCCCTTCTGTTGATCATGAAGAAATCTGTCAACAGGAATGCATTAGTTCTTCTATTATTTATTCTCAAATTATTCTTACCAGTCAAAAATCCCTCTGCTGCACTTTAATAGAGGTGTGGGCTTTCTAAATGATTTATTTATATCATGTGTAATTTAAAAGGAAATCCAGTGTGCATCATTATGATGGATTGGTGATAATACAAGTCAGTTTCTTATAAAATAATGTGCAGAAGTTTTTCTCTTAATTCCTTCATTGTTTTCTTATGATATTTCTACATACATTCTAGAATTAGACAAGTAAAATCAGTGAACATGGAGATCATGCTATATTTATTATATGCTACTAAGTAGAGTTGTGCACAGATTTCATTCCTACTGCTTCTACCATTTCTTTCGTGTCTGTTTCTTTGGGAGCACAAAATGGGATGCTCCCTTCCTGCACAAAAATCTGCTCAACATGAAAGCCTGCTTTTGTCTGCAGCCAAACTTGTCTCCTTGCCTTGGAAAGAAAGAGTGTGTGTGGCAGGGCATGCAGGGCACTCCAGGCCTGCCTGCATGCCCCACCACACACTCTCTGAGAGTGTGTGCATGGTAGTCAGCCAGGCTGTGCAGGCAGTCTTGGAGCATTCCTGCAGCTGAGTGTCTCTTACTCTATAGCAAGAGGTGCTCGGCTGCAGGCATTGGCAGTTGTGCATGCTTTCTGGGCCTGCCAGCATGCCATGTCACACACACACACAATTTCTAAGGAGGGAGTGTGTGTGGCGTGGTGTGCAGTCAGGCCCAGAAAGCGTGTGCAACTGCCAGTGCCTGCAGCCGAGCACCTCTTGCTCTAGAATAGAAATAGCAGGTGCCAGGTAAGAAGAATGGAAACCTCCTTAAAGCACACACCAGGAAGGGGAGCCAGTGGGTGGGAAGCCACCCCCATAATGGTCCAATTTCCGGAGACCCAAACCGAAAACAAATATCTATCCTCTCAATTTTGGGAGGCTACCACAAAATGGATTGGGGCCCCCAATGAAAGCCCAGACATGAAATAGGCAAGGTTTACCCCCAAAAGCACAACCCTACTACTAAGCTGCAAGTGGTTTTGGTGAAACATACCACACTAGTATTGACAACCTGTAGCATTTGGGCTATATGTAACCCCATAGAAGCCTGAGCCTAATTTCAATAGAATGGTATCTATTTAGATTTTTATCAAGAGACTTTGGATTTAAGAAATGAACATTCTGAAGTCATTTACTATCCAGTCATTCTGTAGAACAAAACTGCAATTTTCCTATAGCAAAGGATTGTCTGCCAGTCTGTTTCTGGACACAAAGTGTTTATTATGATCTGTAAAATCCTATATTCCTTAGATATGAGTGATCTGACAGACCATGTATCTCCCTATAAGCCTGAATTGATCCTGAGCTCCAAAGAATCCCACCACAAGTTTTTTGTTTGGATGGCCTTTTGGCTGTTAGCTGGCCATGATGAAATATCTTTTAATAGGACATAGTAGACTTTTATAATCGTAAACCATTATTTTCTATATGATTGTTGGTTGTTTTGTATTTTCTTTTGACTTCAATTGACATCTGCTATGGTTTCCATACTGGGGATGAATTTATGCATGTATTTTTTTCCAATCCTAACTTTGATGAGCCTCTGTTTCACATATATTACTATAAATAGCTAGCAGAAACAAAACAGTGACTGTTACTATTTGTGATCACTATTTACGATCTATAATTGGCTATTGTTAGAAAAACCAGGAACACTGAAAGAATACACCCATGTGTTGGGGGGCGGGGGGGGGGAGAAGGGGTATGGCAATACTGTGAAAATGAGTTTAGCGCCATCACTTCTGATGTATCATACATTTTTGTTTCCTCTGGCAAAGCACATTCTTTTCATCTGAATTACATATACAGGGCAAAATTGCTCCACATCTGAAATACCACGCCACACAGATATAACTGGAACAAAGCCACAGCTTTATTGGTTACAGCTGTAAATGGAGTTGGCCTGCCTCTGAATGGAATGGGATGATG